CCAGGACCCACTTCTTGGCTGGAGTTAAACCAAAGAAGCATTTGCACACCTCCAGATTATGAAATCCACAGGATTTCTTCTCCATCCTTGAGCTGCTTCTTCCTGTAGCTGATAGAGGGTTAGGGTAGGTGTGTCAGCTCCTCTCCAGCCAATCCCTCCATCAGCCAGGTACAGAAGTTTTTTTTTTGTTTTGTTTTGTTTTTTTTCTGCTTGCCCCTTTGTGTATTCATCGAGTTTCAGATACATAATAAATATGAGAAAATGTATGTACCAAATGCAGAGATTTAAAAAGTGCTTGTTGCCTCTCTGAAGTTCCAGTTTCACTGGGAACCCTGGGTTTGTACCTGCTAAACCTGGTCCCTTGCACCGGGGAGCAGCAGCTCCTTCCTCCACTTCCCCACCCCCCTCTGGCTTTCAATGGCACTGAGCTCCCTTCTCCTCACTCTGACTGTTCCTTCATCATCTCCTTCTCTGTCAGTACCCCTCTCTTCCTCCCCAGTGCTGTGCTTGGCCCTCTTCTCCTTTCTGTGACACTCCTCAGGGATCCCATCTCTACTCAGCAAGTCATTTCTTCTCTACTGGTGATTCTTCTGTTCACATCATGAAAGGTTCACTCAGTATCTTCTTTTGTGCTTACCTGATTTAGTAACAAGTAGAGAAATAGATTCAGGAGTCAGAAAGATGGAGATCAAAAGAAAAATACTAGAATGAGCCTTGGTCTACGGGATGAGGGGACCTTGGCTAGATGCTCTACAAGAACTGACGGGAAGGAAGGCAGAAAGCATCAGTGAAATAGGGAGTTTTTAGGGAAAGGCTTGGAAGGGATGTCTGTTACTTCTGTCCACATTTGATTGGCTGGAACCCAGTCACATGGCCCCACCTGACAAGAAGGAAATGAAGTCTACATGTCTGGCCAGGATAGAAAGGAAATGGGTGTGTGAGCCCCCAGCAGTTTCAGCCACACATGCCAGATGTGCTGTTCTGTTTCTTGCTCTTTTGACTTGGCAATAAGTTTTGGAGAGCTACCATGTCAGTTCATGGAATCCTCAGTTTTTCCAACAGTTGCATAGAATTCTGTGTCGTGGATGATGTCCCAACATATTTAACTAGTCTATTTCCCATCATCCTCAAGGGCTTTTTTTTTTTTTATCTTTTCTATTTTCCATTCTCTCATCTGCTGTGAATATTCTTGTATCATTCCACACAGGTTCATGTATATTTGCAAGAAAAATTTCCCATATAAGTTGTTGCTAAATGAAATAGTATATAGACAGTTAATTTTTTTTATTTCTTACATACATGACAATAGTGGACTGTGTTACATTCATAATTATCCATTCACAGCACAATTTTTCATAACTGTATATAAAGTATGTTCACACCAAAGTATGCCATTATATATGAACTCTCTTTTTTTTTGCATTACAATTCTTAATACACCATTTTTCAGACAGCTAATATTTTGATAACAATTATTAAATTATCCTTTTTAGAGATCATGTAAATTTATACAGTCATTGTATTGTTCAATCCTGTTTTAATGTCTTGATTTTTCTTCATCTTTAATGAACATAGTTTAAATCCATCCCCAGTGGATTTGAGAGAGGTGTATGGTCTGTAGCTATGCACTAGGCCTAACCTCCCCCTCATCCCTTGTGACCCTACCTGGTCTATTTCTGTTCCCCAAGCACAACTTTTGTCTTCTATACCCAAACCATTGATTTGTCATTCTATTTAATGTAGATTCAGGTCCATGCTAATCAAAATCCTTTAAATTCACTATTATAGTTAATCCTCAAAAGCCCCTTTAGGTTGTAGGCATTTTTATGCTCATAATGCAAATGAGGAAACTGAGGCTCACAGAAGTCAAGTCAATAGACCAAGGTCATTCAATCAGTATGCACTATATTATTAAGTATTCTGGTCCATTCTGTCTCTCACTCTGGTGTTTCTCAAGCCAAAGCATAACTTAAGAAAGAGGAAAGAGAATGTTTACCCTTGAGCGGTCTCTAGGTGTGTCCTAAAGCTGCTGCCCAGAGTGAGCCAAGTTTTCTTTGAAGTCTCCTATTTGTATTAAAAATGCATACAGATCTTGAATTTCATTTTTTAATACATCTGCATTTATTTTAATATTTAAAATTGTTTAAATTATTTGCTATCAACTCTAACTGAAACTTCAGAAATCTGCCAGCTTCCTCTGTGGCTTAGGGAAAGCAAACCCACTGGCCTAAGTCAGACAAAAGGCGTGCTCTGCATGTGGGTACTCCTGAATAGACTCCCACTTGTCCTTCACAACCTGGCTCATATGCTGCCCCCACTTCAGCCTTTCTGCAAGGCCAGCAATCCCAGAGTGCTATCTGGCTGGGAGAACCCTGAATTATAGCTTAATTCCATGCTCAGAGCTTCTTCGGTAATACAGGGTCTTCTTTTCTTTGGCCACAATCTTCATGGAATCAGTCTCTATTACATAGCATATCTTCATATTCCTTATAGCTTGCAAAATTTTTAATGAATAAATCATTGAAGATGATCAGTCTCTTTATTGTGCTAATCTTTTTATTTGTCCAAAGGAATCAGCAAAAAACAAAATAACAAAAGCCTAGTTCTTAATTCTAAATCTGGCTTCAAGTAGTTACATTGGTACAGTGATCCCTTGGAAAGCATACATGTAGTTTGACTGTGCATCTACATCCTATTCTCAGTGATATCCCTGTCCTGTTGATTGACATGGGCCCACTATTAATTTCTTCTCTTGTCTCTGGAAAATAACCATAATTGCATTTGCTAGCTACTACTCAGGAATGTTGTCAGAGTTGATGAAACAGTGTTTTTAAAAGACCTCTTTGGAAAGACCAGGGCACATAAATCACAGTCCCTCACTAGGATATTTATTTTAGAGTTTATTTATTTAGTAGTTCAGTAGAATATAGATATTTCTTCCCAGATAAGTCATATTGAGTCAGTGCATGCCTTACTACTCAGGTCCAAACAGAATTTTGTATCTCTAACCTTCTGATGAACTTGGAAATTAAACTTGGTACATTCTTTCTACTCTTGGAAATTTTCTAGCTGTTTATCTGTGTGAACATATGTCTGGGCCATTTTTAGTCAAATACTGGTGCATGTGGGAGATGATATTTAAAATACACTGCATCATTGTGAACACACTGATATTTCTCTCCCCCCATAGTATCTTTAAGAATTGAGTTCTGATGTTTAAAATTTTTCACAGCTTTCATGAAACATGCATAATACTTCCATCTCAGAGTCTCAGGTCTGTTGTTCCAAACGAACCACACTTTGGATTGCATAATAGAACATTTAAAAACAAAATAATATGAATTTTAAATTCTGGTAACTGTCTAAAAATGTACTATTCGATTGCCACTAGCCTCCAGTGTTAAAGTAAAAATTCAGTCATTCAGTTGTCCTAGCTACAGTTCAAGTGTTCAGTAGGTCATGTGACTGGTGGCTACTGTTATTGCACAGTCTTAGAACACACCCATCATCACAAACAAGGTCTGTTGGCCAGTCCTTGTCCCTAAGATTTGTGTCTTTTGTCCCTAAGACAGGTGGAAATCCCATTTGGGGAACATTTTTTAGCTTTTTGCTCTTCTTTTTCCTCTACCCTTCCCTTTAGATGCTTTTCTCCTTTGTTTTATAATAAATAATTGAATTGTTTAGTCTTTTAAAAAACCCCAAGGCATTGATTTGAACACAGAATATGAGGAAAATGACATGTGGAATTCCCATCTGGAGGTTGGGACAGTGGCAGATCCAGCCATTTCTGAGAAATTGCCTGGGTTTGGAGTTACTCCCAGAATTTTGATTTAGCAGCTCCTAAGCTTACAGCAAGTCTGAAAGGAACACAAATCTGTTTTGTATATACAAATAAATCCTTGTATGCTGCATGCCATTCTCAGCCTGCCAGTTTCATCTGGTTGCTCCAGAAAATATAATTCAATAGCACGTTAGTTAACCTGCATGCAGGGAGTGGGGCACCCTGATTATTGGAATGTTCTGGTTGAGTGATTAACCTGATTTTTGCAGAAAAGCTGCTGAGGCAAGGATTTTCTGTTAGGAGTCTGTGCCACCATGGCTTGCTCTTGCAGATGATCACAGTCGTGTTGCTTCATTCCCCCAGCACTCAGCAATACATCTCCATGCTAAAACCTTCAAACACGCAATTGCTATACTTGCAAGAAGCCTCATAAAAATAGATCAACAGTGGTGTCTCTGATCATCCTAGAAAAGAGAGTAAAGAGAGAAGCAAATTAAAATCTTCATGCATGTTTTACGCAATTGGGAAACCTTCAGGACTTCCTGATAAGAGAGCAAGTATAACTTGAAAATATAAAAAATAAATATATATATAAAATATTAAAAAAATATATAAAATATAAAATATAATATATATAAAATAACATATAAAATATATTAAAAAGTATAACTTGAAAATATTTCTTTATATATTTAATTTTCTTTAGTGATAAACACAAAGTGCTTACTAGATGGCAGGCAATGCCCCAAGGACTTTACAAAGATTAATTCATTTTATTCTCATAGCCAACTTCTTATTAGATACGACATTATCATGTTCACTGTAAAGATCAGGAAACTGAGACACAGAGAGTTTAAATTCTCATCCAAGTCCCTGAGTTTGGGACTTGAACCCAGGAAACTTGACGGTGAGTATGCATGAGACCACTGTAGATCATTTGTTTTTCTCTTTCCTTACACTGTTGGTTTTCTTACAATAAAAGCCAGAACATCTGAAGGTAAAAAGTGAAATCAAAACATTAATGCTTCTCTCCAAAATCCATTATAAAATTTCTGCACCAAAGGGAAAATTTATTAAGAGCCCAGAATAAATCATAAAACACAATACCTGCTAGCAGTAGGCTGGTTTTTCCAAAAGTAAAATAATATAATGTTTTATTTCTATGTGGGATGGACAAAGCATTGTTTTTATCTTCTGTGTTGATTGTTGTATTCAAAAGGATTTTTTTTTTTTTACTCAGTGTTTTGAATGAGCCAATGTAACAAAAGAGATGACTACAGTGTCATTGTGCCTCTATAATGGAAGTGTAAAATTCTTCTAGAAGTATGCAATGTGTGCTAGTGAGAGAAAACCAACCATAAAGAGCTGCTACTATTTAACAGGCACTGACTTCAGGGTTTCATAGACTTGGTTTCTTCCTTTCTGTTATCCCTGGCACCTAATCTGCCAACTACCCATTGGGTCTTCCAGTGTCCCTGGAAACTGCCCTTTTCTCCCCAGCTCCAGGCCTCTGTCCTCTCTCCTATTGATTATGCAGCCCTCACCCCAGGGCTTCTCTTAAAGCTTGAATCTCATCCTCTCATCCCTGCTCCAACCTCCTACAGGGACCTTTTCCATTTGAAATCACCCCCAGCTCTGCTCTTTCTCACCTTCTTCTTTGGGCTCACCTCCCCCTGCTCCTTCCACTCTGGCCTTCATTCACAAATCCTTACTGCTATTTTCCACCTTAGATCTTTGCGGGTGTTATTCTCTCTGTTTGGGGTGTTCTTCACTCAACTCCTTTTGGAGGACTTTTCAAATTTTGCATTTTATCTTAAATGTCACTTCCTCACAAAGCCCTTCCTGGTTGTCCTGCCTAATCCCTCCTTGCCCTCTGACACAGCCCTTTGATCATGGGGAGCAGGTAGTTTAGTTAAGTCCGCCTTCACAACTGGCAAGGAGGCTCCCAGTGGCAAGCACTGGGTCCCCACTCTGCCTCCAGTGTCTAGTACAGGGTCTGACATGAAGAGGTTCTTTATGACCAATGAATTTTCCCATTTGATAGGATTCACTCATTTTTAGAAAACAGCACTGGGGTTGGCTGTCTTTAGTTATACTGGGAGTGTGTGGCCTACTTTGCTTAGGATTCTAATGATAAAATCTCCTGGAGGACCTCAAAGGTGTGGACAGAGTGAATCTTATGTAACTTGTGGTAGCAGAATATAAAAGGCAGAGCCTCCTTATGTTGGGCATGCAGAAGGTCAGAGTGTAGGAAACAGGCAGGCCTGGGAGACAAAACCTGGGTCTAGAAGCTCAGCTTCTTCATTTAGTAGCCGCTTGACCTTGATCATCCCAAAGCTCTCTAAGCCTTGGTTTTCCCCTCTGTAAAATGGGCCTGTTCATCATTTTATCTCTGGTACCTAGCATACATCCTGGAATGAGTGACCTAATGAAGAGTGAATGAAATGCATGAATTCCCCCATCTTTGTTCCTGTAGGGACTTAATGCAACATCACACTTACATGCCTGGGAGAGAGTAGGAACTTGGGCCTGCTAAGAAAACATCTCTTCCTTTCTCCTGGCCAATCTCTTTTTCTTCTCAGGTGTTCTGTCACAGGTAGTACCCCACCTTGGTTTGGGATAAGCCAAGAGAAGGTCTAAGAGAGCTGAGGGCTTGCTTCTCTGTTGTCTCCAACTCGTCCATAAGTTGAACATGTATCTGTCCTATCAGGTGGTGAACTAGTTATTATGTGGGAAAACAAATCAAAATAAGGGCATGTTCCTTGCTGAAGAAATTTGCCTCTTGGTGGGAGAAACTAGAAAATATGGGTGAAACAGTTATCTAGACAAGAAAGCCTAAGGCCGTTCACCTGATCAACAGCAAGACTGGGAAGGAAGTCTCTCTATTATTCTCCCTCCCAGAGATGCGTGCACCTGTCACGGCCTCTATTCCTCCTAAAGGGAGGGGTGGTGTGGCCCCTGCGATCCCTGGATGAAGGATCCAGAAATTGTCACCTTCTTAAAGGCAGTCAATCTAGGCCAGTGCTTACAGTTCTCCCCGGGCCTGGTGTGAAAAGATAAGCCGAGCCCATCACATTCCACTTCCCATGGATTTGAATCATGATAAACTGACATTGGGGATCAAGTAGGGCAAGAGATGACTGTGAGAGTAAGGTCACACAGGCCAGGGAGAGACTAAGAAAGAAGCAGAGGCCTCAGGGTCTAGGGATGACCCCTTTGGATGCTCAGTGGTACAGGAGGTGTGGCATCAACGGTGACTAACTAGGTTTGTGAAAGGGAACTAGGCTAAGTTAGGTGGCTTCTTCTTCCTCCACCTTTCCCTTCCCATATGTTAATCGGATGAGCAGAGCTGAAGGTCCAGGGGAGGCAGAAAAGAGCCTCTGACATTCCCAGCTAAACCAAAAGGGAAAATCGGAACCAATAGAGGCTGTTCTTAATTTTTTTTGTTGTTGTTGTTAAATAATCTTTACCTGTAATGAAGGTGAGTATAATGCATCCCGTTTTAATAGATTTGACTCCAAAATAAGTGCTGATTTTGTCCTTTCCATTTGAGCGAATTATTTACTGAGCAATGAGCCAAACAGTGGGAGGTATTGAGGCTACAAAGAATTGCCTAAGGCATCATTGTGACCCTGGATAAGCTCTCAGATTAATGGGGGAAATGGTGAGACACAAGCCACTTGTCATGAGAAGTATGTTAGAAGACACAGATGTTACCAGGAGGGTTCAACGTGCTGAAACAGCACAGAGGAGAGAGTGGTCTGTTTGGACCATTGGATCAGGCCGACTTCACCAGGGACCGTATAATTTTGAGATCCAGTTTCAGAGAGGAGCAGACTGAATTCACACAAGGGGAAGGAAAATTACAAATTTGAGTTGTGAAACCCATACAGCAAAAGACTTTTATGAGTACTCTAATGGTGAGAAGGCGACATAATGAATGGCATGTATGAGAGAGAGAGGGGGAGGTGGAGGGAGGCAGGCTGGGGAAAGGACAAGGGGTGGAGAGGAGTGGGAAAAGATGAGGAGAGTCTAGGTGGCTTTAGAGATTAAGAGAATTCTTATTTTCAAATGACCAAGTATGTGGGAGATGTTGGATTCAAGAATTCCTGCCTCTCACTGCATTGTATTTCATACTTGTGTTTTGGCCAAGTTTATTTTAGCATTTAAGTAAAAACCAATAAA